TGGCCTGCTGCCCCAGGGAGTGCTTCAGAAGGGGCACAGTTCTGGTCCCCAACACCCCTTTAAACAATAGGGAACGGAGGCTGCAGGGGGACCCTGTGCTTGCCACCGCCAATCGCGGCCACCCAGGAGGCTGCCCCAGGGATGTTTCTGGAGGCTCACTGAGGAGCCTGGACATTGCTTTGGAGCAGTGCTTGTGGCTGCAGGGCCTGTAATAAGGGTGGTCCACTCAGGATGGATGGGCAGACCCCGGGGACGTCTCAGAGAGGTGTTTTCTGCACAGGGTGGCGGGGGCCTCGGTGCAGGGCCCTGGTCCCCGCAGCGTCTGTGATGGTGGGAGCCCCTCCTTCACACTACCCATGTCACCACTGGTGTTTGGTGAGGGCTTGGCACAAGGGACTCTGTTTGGATTCTGACGCCTTCTGGGTGTACAGTACCTCAGACGCTGGGGTCCCCACTGTGCCCCTCATGGTCACTGCCTCACGGGAGCCCAGTCTAACCAGCCTGCGATGTCTTTGTTACCGTTGTTTACGGTGACGAGTCCTCGCTTCTGTAATGTTGAAGTACAACACCAGAGAAGCACGCCGAGGCAAGGTCAGAGTGGACAGTAGAGGCTTTATTAAAGGACAGCAGAAAAGACTTCTCCCACCCAAGAGGTGGAATCCGGGGAAGGGCGCTGTCTTCCCTTCTTATAGCTAAGTCTTCATGCAGCTTCCCCCATTCCTGTCCTTGTTCTGTTACCTTTCAGTGATGGAGGTAGGTGGAAGGCCCTCAGGGTGGGGCACAGGTGGGCCAAAGGAGTAATCTGGGCAGGAAGGACTCTTGGGTCAGCACCTTCAAGTTTGCTGGGAGCTGTTTCATTAACATTTCTTGGGGATGGGCTCTGGGCCTTGGGGACATTAACACTCATGAGTTGTTCTGCTTTTCCCGGACTCCATTCTCAACACGGCTTCATTTTGGATCTTACTCGATATTAGACCTGATTTACCTAACTACACTGACTAGCTGTCCTTAAATCTGGCTTCATTCCCCCTCTGATTCTGGGAACTCCTTACTGCTGTAAGGAAAGGGGGCGGAGACCGTTCTGGCTTCTTCAGGCTGAAAGGAGGCAATGTAAGCAAGCAGTTTGGAGTCCCCCCTTTTAAAAATCGGGTCTATCGAGTGGTCCATGATAGAAGGCTGGAGGGCCATTTGAGTGATGGGTGGTCATTTTCTCTGTGGAAGAGATATTTTAGGTCCTCTTCTGGAGTGCAGGAGCATCACACCTCAGTTTCTTGGGAAGGAGAAGTCTCTTTGCGTATCGGCTCAGGATGGCAGGCCTTAATCCGAGAGTGGTGGATCCAGTTCTCCTGTCCCAACACCTTTACTACAGAAGGGGTGGATAAGATTACAGAAAAGGTCCTTTCTAAATGGGGTCTAGGTTTGGAGTTTGAAGGAATGGTCTTAATCATAACTAGATAGATCTCCAGGCTCATGTAGAGGTGGAGAGGTAACTGGCTCAGATATGGGATATTTGCGGATTTCAGCCTGAGATTTGGCCAACTGTGTGATATGAGCCACTAGATCTGCAGTTTCTTGGTCTTTAGGGATATCATTTCTTAGGAATGGTCTCCCATATAAGAGCTGAAATGGGCTGAGCCCTAATGTCTTTGGGGTGTTCCTGATTCTGAGCAGTGCTAAAGGAAGCACCTTAGGCCATGGGTGGTGGTTTCTTGAGTTTTCTTAGATGTCTTTTTAAAATATCGTTAGTTTTCTCTGCCCTTCCTGAGGATTGAAGTCTCCATGCACAGTGGAGATGGTATTTGATGCCTAAGGCTTTGGATATCCCTGAGTGACCGCTGCCTTAAAGGCTGCTCCATTGTCACTCTGCAAGCTTTGAGGCAACCCAAAGCGTGGGATTATTTCCTGTAATAATGCCTTGACTACCTCTCCTGCCTGTTCAGTTCAGGAGGGGTAGGCTTCAGTCCACCCAGTAAAAGTCTCTATCATAACTAATAGATATTGGAATCCATTGCTCTTAGGCATGTGGGTAGAACCAAGTTGCCAGACCTCCCCAGGGAACTGTCCCGTCCTTTGTAATCCTGGGGGCTTTTGGCAGAATTAAGTGGATTATTTCTTTGGCATGTTTTACCGGCTTTGACTATTTGGTGGATAGTCTTTGAAAGATCCTTTCCTTCAAATATCTCTTAGGTTAATTTGAGAGCATTTTCTTCTCCTAGGTGGAAAGATTGATGTAAGGTATGTGAAATCTTCCACTGGGAATTAGCAGGTAAATAAAGTTTGTCACCGTCCATTTGAATCTGCCCAGAGGGTAGAAGAATACTCCTTTAGCTGTGCCTTGTGGGTTTCCTCCTGGGTGTACTGAGGTCTTATCTCTGGGGGAGGGCCTGTCCATATAAAGGGGCTACAGTAGTTATCTGTGAATTCCCCTTAGCAGCCTCCTTGGCTTGTTGGTCTGCTAGTCTGTTCCCTTCTGCTATCTCATCTATCCCTTTCTAATGTCCCTGGCAATGAATTACTGCTACCTCTTTGGGTAAATGGACAGCCTCTAGCATCCTTAAGATCTGCTCATAGCTCTTTATGGACATTCCCCCAGTCGTTGGAAATCCTCTTTCCTTCCAGATTGCTGCCTGTGCATGCAGGATCAGGTAGGCGCATTTGGAGTCAGTGTAAATATTAATTCTCTGTTGTTTCCCTATTTCTAATGGTCTTGTTAGGGCTATCAATTCAGCTAGTTGAGAGCTTGTGCCTGGGGGCAAAGATTGTGCCTCTATGGTGTCATGTAAGGTCTCCACAGCATATTCAGCTGTGTTCTCCTGGTTCCATAAAGAACTCCCATCTGTGAACATGGTGAGGTCAGGATTGGACAGGGGAAGGTTTTGAAGGTCCTTCCAGGCTGAGTAATTTATAGCTAGGACTTGTTGGCAGTCATGTTCAGGATTTCCCTCTAATTTCTCTGGGAGGAAGGTAGCTGGGTTTAAATTAGAACAAGTCCTTATTTGAGTTACAGATCCTTCTAAAAGTAGGGTTTGATATTTTAGAAGGTGATTGTCTGAGAGCCACAGTTCTCCTTTTGTATTTAAAATTCCTGAGAGATCATGGGAGGTGTAGACTATAAGGTCTCTTCCCAGGGTGATTTTAATTGCCTCAGGGACTAGCAAGGCCACCACTGCTCCTGCCCTCAAACAATGAGGCCATCCTTGAGACACTAGGTCAAGCTCCTTACTGAGATAAGCTACTGGCTGTTGAGCTGGTCCCTTCTTTTGTGTGACCACTCTTAGGGCTATCCCTCCTCTCTCAGTGACAAATAGGTTGAATTTTTGTTCAGTGGGTAAGCTGAGGGCAAGGGCTTGGAGTAGGGCCCCTTTCAATGCCTTAAAGGCCTTAATCTGTTCTGGTTCCCACATGAGGGAAGGCGCTCCTTGACCTAGTGTCTCTCTGAGGAGGCCGTAGAGAGCCTTAGCTATCTCCCCACAACCAGGGATATCCAGGGGTCCAAGGCCCACAGTATCCAGTTATCCCTAGGAGGCCTCTAAGTTGTCTTATGGTCTGAGGCAGAGGATACTGTCCTATGGGGGTCATTCTTTCTGGTGCTGGCTTGCGAGTTCCTTGAGACAGCTGTAATCCTAAGTATTGGACTTGTTCTTGGCACAATTGAGCTTTTTTCTTTGAGACTTTATAACCCTTATCAGCTAAGAAGTTTAAAAGCTCTTTAGTGGCTTCCTGATGTCCCCTTTCAGTGGAGGCACACAAAAGTATATCATCTACATATTGCAGGACAGTCAGAGATGTCTTATCTCTGAACTCTGTTAAATCCTTAGCTAGGGTTTGGCCAAACAGATGAGGGCTGTCTCTGAACCCTTGGGGTAATACTGTCCAGGTTAGTTGAGATCCACTCTCTGGTTGCTCAAAGGCAAACAGATCTTGTATTGGGAGTCTAAGGGCATACAGAAAGGGGCATCCTTTAAATCTAACACCGTGAACCAGGCAGCGGCTGCTGGAATCTCAGATAACAGGGTGTACGGGTTAGGAACCACAGGGTGGAGGGCAACAGCTGCTTGTTAATGACTCTCAGGTCCTGAACTAGCCGCCATTCCCCACTGGGTTTCTGAATTCCTAAAATGGGCGTGTTACATGGGCTGTTGCAGGGCACTAAGAGTTTCTGTACTTTGAGGTTCTGAATGATCTTTAATAAGCCCTTTTTTGCCTCTGGGCATAGGGGACATTGTCTTTGATGTGGAAAGACAGAAGGGTCTTTTAAGACTGTTTTGATTGGAACTGTACTTTCTGCCCATCCAATTTTGCCTTCAGTAGCCCACACTTCAGGGTTAATATCACATTCTAATAAAGGCAACATAATGGCCCTCTCGGTCCTAAATTCATTGTAATGGACGCGTGAAGTTTTGAAACTAAGTCCCTTCCCAGTAAAGGGGTAGGACATTCTGGGACTCTCAGAGATGCATGAGAAAACATCACCCCGTTCCACTCACAACTCAGTGGGGGAGTAAGCCTTCTGGTGATCTTGTATGGTCACAGTACTAGAGGACAGAGGTCCGGGGTGGGAGGTGAGCACAGAATAACTGGTGACAGTAACTAAGAGGAAGGTGACCTCTCGGCTCCCTATGGAGAAGCATACCCGGGGCTCACTGTGGTGATCGGAGTCACGGGAGCCAGAGTTGAGCCCTGCCCCGTCAGGCCTGTGTGGAGGGGTCTGGCTTCAAGGATCCACGCCCCTGAGGACAGTCACTCTTCCAGTGATTGCCTTGACATCTAGGGCAGGGCCCCTGAGGTGGTCACTTGGCCTTTGGGCAATCCCGTTTGAAATGTCCTTCCTCTCCACAATGGAAACACGTCCCTTTTGTGGACTGAGGAGCATTTCGTCTTCCTCCTGCACCCTGGGAGCTGGCTCCTCTAAGAGCCGATACCAGCGCTTCAGTCCTTCTGTCTCTGAGCTCTTTCTCCTTCTTTCCCTATTACAGAAAACCGAAGTAGCAAGTCGGAGGATGTCATCTAAAGATCGATCAGGGCCATGTGCCAATTTGTGTAACTTCCTCCGGATGTCTGGGGCTGACCGAGTGAGAGATCTGTCCTTTAAAAGTAGGTGGCCCTCTGTGGACTCAGGATCCACGGTGGTGTGTTTTCTCATACTTCCCTGAGTTTCTCCATGAAAACAGCAGGGCTTTCCTGGGGGCCCTGAAGAATTTCTGAAACATTACAATAGTTAATGGGCTTTTGCTTGATTCTCCTGAGGGCCTTGAGGACCAACACTTGGAAATGGCTGATTTTCCAAGCTTCTTGCTCGTCATTTGGGTCCCACTCAAGATCATCTCTGGGAACTCCCTGTGCTCCAGATGGGTGATTGGGTTTGCTCTTAGTCTGTTGTGCTGGGGAAGGAGCGAGGTGTAGGTCATCCCCAAATTCCTCGGCTGCTCTCAGAGTTGCTTCCTTCTCATTGAAAGTCAAGGTCTGGTTGAGTAATAGCATAACATCTTTCCAGGTGAGGTCAAATACCTGGCATAAGTTTCGAAATACCTCAATATATTTATTTGGGTCCTCCAAAAATCTCCCCAAGTCTGTTTTTATCTGCCTTAGGTCTTGAAGGGAGAAGGGGGTATGTACTTTGATACATATTTGGTAACATATTTGGTCTGTCTATTGGGGCAGATGCAGAGAGGCCAGGGTATGGAGGACAGGAGGGTCGCTGTTGCGCACCAACAGCAGATGGAGATTTTGTGGGTCCTCCTGATTCTTTCTCCTCAGTAGGTGATTCTTTAAGATTTTCTCTCTTCATGGCAGATATCATGGCTAAGTCTACACTGTTGGCATAATTTGGGATTTTCCCTTAGAGCAAAGAAAACCTGTACATATGGCACCTCACACCATCTCCCTTCCTTTTGTAAAATTTATCAAGCTGTAAAATTGTATTAAAATTGATACTTCCCTCTGGTGGCCAGGTTTCTCCATCAGGGAGTTCGTATTGAGGCCAGGCCTGGTGGCAGAAGAAAACGAGGCGCTTTTTCTTGAGCGTCTGAGGGTCAAATCTATCCCAGTTTTTCAATATGCAGGTTAGTGGTGCACCTGGCGTATTGGAGAGAGAGAAGCTCCCGTCTGAGTGAGAAGAAAACAGGACTTAGGCGCCCGCGCTGTGCTGGAGAAAACTGTTCTCATTAGGGACGTCTCCCTAAGCTTCAGCCTCCTAAATGGTCCAGAAAACCCGTCTCTCACCTTGCTTTGCCAAGGGGTTTCTGGTCCCCTTTAGCAAAGTGCTAGGGTCTCAGTTTGCCCTGTGCCAGAGACCCTGGGAGGATTCAGACTTAAGGGCGTTACTGCTTATCCTCCCGGCCACTAAAACCCACAGCAAAAGAGAATTGTGCACTCTTCTTGTCGCCTTTGCTCTGTAGACTAAAGGAACCGTCTAAGGGTGAGGGATATCTACTGGTTGTAAGGTAGCGCTTTCTATCAGAGAGATTACGGGAGGAGTTGATTCTAAAAATGCCTCTCTAGCAGCTTAAAGAGAACACAGCACATTTTAACATTGGGGCGGTAAAGCAGACTAGTGAAAGTTTCCTATGCACCCAAGGGAACCTGGGCAGATTTTGCTAATTATCCCATGCCTTTCTCTCAGTCCTGCAACCTGAATTGCTAACATTTCTGACCTGCGAAGGAAGGGGAGCATCCAGGAGGGGTTGGATGCGGGGTTGGGAGTGTTGCGTAGCCCACACGGAGGCAAATGTGATTGGGGCTTTCCCTCAGTGCCATTCATCTACCGATCACCCTAGATACCCCTGAGGGCTGTCGGGAGGGGGCTCAAGAGAAAGGAACCTTAGGAATACGTCTGAGTGTAGCCCAGACCGGAATTCTGCAGTTGTTCCAAACTCCTTCCTCCACCTCCACGCATCCGAGGCAGATCGGGATTCGGGACACTGTGTATCTCACACCAATTGCTCTCCAGGCCCAGACAGAAAAGTTGGAAGTGGCTTTGGCAGAACCCAACAAGCCTGCTCTGTATGGACAGGTGATTGAGAGCTGCCTAGGCCGGGAAACCTCTCACCCGAGTCTTGAAGAGTGGCGGCTGCACTAACTGCATCTAAGTAGCTGTCAGGTGCCCACTTCACCCTCCAGAAAGAAAGAGAGAGAAAGATGCACCTCAGACAGACGTGGGGTGCATGGAGAGGAGCTTACCTCGGTGTAGATCTCGGTGGGACCTCCAATCTATTACCGCTGTTGACCGGTGACAAGTCCTTGCTTCCCCAATGCTGAAGTATGACACCAGAGAAGCACGCCGAGGCAAGGTCGGAGTGGACAGTAGAGGCTTTATTAAAGGACAGCAGAAAAGACTTCTCCCACCCAAGAGGTGGAATCCGGGGAAGGGCGCTGTCTTCCCTTCTTATAGCTAAGTCTTCATGCAGCGTCCCCCATTCCTGTCCTTGTTCTGTTACCTTTCAGTGATGGAGGTAGGTGGAAGGCCCTCAGGGTGGGGCACAGGTGGGCCAAAGGAGTAATCTGGGCATCTTCAAGTTTGCTGGGAGCTGTTTCGTTAACATTTCTTTCAGATGGGCTCTGGGCCTTGGGGACGTTAACATTCATGAGTTGTTCTGCTTTCCCGGAATTCATTCTTAACACGGCTCCATTTTGGATCTTACTCGATATTAGACCTGATTTACCTAACTACACTGACTACCTGTCCTTAAATCTGGCTTCATCTTTGACACAGACCTGCGGCCCCTGGACGTCCTGGCGGAGGTGGTCCCTTCGGATGGATCCGCAGGCAGAGTCAGGACGGTGCAGGTCCTCGGTGCCCGGGGCCTCCAGCTCTCGGCCGCCCCGCCCCGTGCCTGGAGCTTCCCTGCATCGAGGATTTTCTTCAGATGTGACCTCTTCCCCGAGGAATTTTCCATCGTTGTGACCTTGAAAGTCCCCCGCCTTCCTCCCAAGGTCAGTGCGATTTGGTTCTTGGCTTCAGGAAAAGCAGAGCTTCCTTCCTCTTCCATGTTTTCGATGCCAGTGCTGGCCAGGCCCCTCTAGTGGGCAGGGCAGCTGCTCAGGCCTCTGGGGGCATCTTGGGATCGAGTGGCCTGTCCTGCTGGGGAGTGAGGCCCCCCACAGCAGCTGCGGCAGGGTCGGCCTGCCCCTGGCTGGGGGTCGGCTGGCGACACCCGAGGTTGTGCGTGGGTCTTATCCTGATGTTCTTTGGCACTTCAAAGTGTGCAGCTTGTGGCGGGCTCTCCTGTGGTGCGTGGTGCCATTGTCCCAGGTCTAGCATGGCCCCTTCCCACCACCCCGGCCTGGAGGGAGGGAGGCCAGGGGTGCCCCTCGCTGCCGTCCCCACTCGGACACACACTGACACGGACACCTGGGGTTCTGGACGATGCACAGCAGACAAAGGTGGGTTTCTCTTTGCACTTCCAAATCGCCAGTCAAGGAGCAAAGCCGGCAGCCCAGCTCTGGGTCGTCGGCAGAGTGGGACACTGGCGTGGCCCCCAGGGACTCCCAGGCTCCAGTCCTCCCCTCCTGTGCTGTGCTCTGTCTCGCCTGCTGGACGGCCCCTGCGTGACGGCGTGTGGGGCCGCCCAGTCCTTCCACTCGCTCCCTCTCTTCCCGCGTGAGTCCCCCGTCGCGGGTTATGTTCTGCACCCTGCCTGTGACCTTCCAGGACGTGGCCATGTCATGGACGCCCCGGGTCTTCTGCTCCTCAGCTGGGAACCTCTGGTCTTCCCGCCCCTCAGCTGTTAAGGGGACGCTGCTGAGTGGTCACGGCCCTGCGTGGCGGGCATGGTCCCTTTCCCCTGGGGACAGGCTGAAGTGGGAGCCTTGGGTCTGGGCAACTCCAGGGGTGACTTTTGAGAGCCAGCGGTGGCCAGGGAGGGTTGGGAAGGCTGTCCCTCTGGTTTCCAGAAGGGCCCGCAGAGCCACGGTGGGTGTTGGTCTCCTGGGACCCGTGCGCTGTCCCTGCCCGGCTTAGTGCGGCTTAGTGTGGCTTAGCGTGGCTTAGCGTGGCTTAGTGTGGCTTAGCGTGGCTTAGTGTGGCTTAGTGTGGCTTAGTGGTGTGGCTTAGTGTGGCTTGCTCCTCCTTCTCTGGAGCCTTACGGTGGGAGCTGGGCCCGTGACCCTCAGTGCCGTGATGAGCTGCTGTGACTCTCCCGGCCGGTGCTTCCTGAGCTTTGGTCCCGACATCTGAAGGTCCCTCCTGCTCTCTCTTGAGGTCCTGCCACCCTTGAGGAGTGCGGCTCCGTTTCCTTGGACCCGAGTTTCCCGGGTTTTCTGTTATTGGTTTTAGTTTCATCCTGCGGTGGCCAGAGCACACGCTTGTCTTCTTCTGTCCTTTGGAGCCTAGGAGGTTGTCTTCGGCCTGGCCCATCTTCTGTCCCCGACAGTGTCTGTCCAGGACAGAAGCTGTGTCCTCCCACGGGGGGGGGGGGACGCTAACAACCCGTCAGAGCACCCAGGCCGTCCCAGGTTCAGGCCCTCTTCCTGGTGGACCCTCTGCCTGGCCCAGCCACTGCCGAGGCCCGAGCGTCCAAGTCCTCAGCCAGTGCTGCCTCACGCCCTTCCTGTCGGCCCTGCTTGCTGTCACTGTGTTGTCACTGCCTGTTTGTAGACATTCGCTCTGTTGTCCTGAGGCTCTCCTGACCTATGAGGCGCTTCTTCATCTCCAGCAAGACCTCGCCTCGGGAGTCGACCCTCCCTGCCAGTCCACGGCCACCGTGGCTGCCCTGCGGGTGCTGTCTGTATCACACACTCACACTCACTCACACTCACAACACTCACGTACAAGCTCACACACGTATATGCACGCACTCACACATGAACACACATGAACACACATGCACGCACTCACACACTCACACACACACACGAACACACATGCACACATGAACACACTCACACACACATGAACACACATGCACACACTCACATGCACACATAAGCTCACACACTCACATGCACTCACAAGCACAAGCATGCACATGCACATGCACACACACACACTCACATGCACTCACAAGCACAAGCATGCTCATGCACACACACATGCACAGTCATGCATAAGCACACACATGCACACACACATAAGCTCACACACTCACATGCACTCAAACACATGCACACACACACTCACAAGCACAAGCATACACATGCGCACACATATGCACACACAAACACACACGTGCACAGTCATGCACAAGCACACACACTCACATGCACACACATGCGCACACACACATGGACACACCTTGCTGTCCTTGTCTGACTTGACTTCACGTCTGAGTCCCCCGTGTGGAAAGCATCTGGTGGAATCCTGATTTTTAGAAATCTGCTCTGACAGTCTCTCACTTGATTTCGATTCTTCAATTGGTGCGAGTTCGAGTCACAATTCTGTATTCACACATTCACCTACTTACTAACTGCTCTGTAGCCCCGTCCGTCAGGGGTGCTGTCCTGGTGGTCCGGGTGCCCTTCCGCATGCGTGTCCTAGCCGGGGTGGGCAAGGTGGCTGCCTGCCCCTGGCCTCTGTGTGGTCTGTTCAGTGTCATATTCTCCCGTTTCCGTGCCCTTTGGAAGGTCTTTCTTACTTATTTCCCTCCGTGTGGTTTTGCTATCTCGATGGCCAGGGGCATGTTAATGGAGCCGGTGGTTCCAAGGTGAAGGGCTGCGTCTGCCGGAGGGTCTGTGCTTACCTCTAGGCTGGCACGTGCCCTGGAGGGTCCCTGGGGATGGGTACAGCAAGGTCCCGTCCTGGGCAGCTGCAGTGTGGCCACGCTTGCAGGGCCCAGCCTGGTCCTGGTGCGGTGGCCCAACGTTTGGGACTCGGCGCTGCAGTGCCAGCATGCGGTCGGTCAGCACTGACCCTGAGAGCTTGGCTCCCCTGTGTCCACGGGTGGCTGCTTGTCTCCATGGGCCTCGTGTGGCTCTTGACGTCCATGCTGAGAGTCTCACGGCGCCTCTCCACTTGCCCTCCGTGTGGCCGCACACCTGCTCATTCTGACTCACCTGAGCCAGCCTCCGGTCAGCAGTGGTCCGGCCCCACGACGCGCAGGCTGCCGTCCCCGTGACACGGTCCCGCCTTCCCTCATGGCAGCCTGCTGGTGTTGCGCCTGCCAGCCCTGCCACGGCCTTCGCTCTACCAAAGCTGTGACTTCTGAGGAACCTGAGGAGACCAGGGTGGACGTGCCTGTGGCCGCGTCCCGTCGGGGCTGCTCGGCCATCTTCCCTGGACTTGAGCTGGCCCCGGCACGGCTTCCACTGCCCCACGCACCTCCTTGAGCCTTGCGTCACACACGTCCTCGCTGTGTTTAGGCCACCAACACGGCCCACGCTTTGACCCACTGGCCTTTTAGTAAGTGGGGAGAGGAGGGGGAGGCGTGTCCGTCCGCCCCTTGTGACCTGGAGCGGCCTCCGTCACCACATCTTGACTCTCACCTGGGGTAGTTCCCTGCCGTCACCTCTCAGCCTGTCCCTTCAGGGGCTGTGACAAGCCGGCTGGTGGCCTTTGGTGACCTGGGGGTCTTCACTTGGCCGCCGTGTCTGAGGGAGGGCTCCGAGGGCCCGGGCTCTTGGTGGGTGACACCCTGAGAGCTTGGCCTTCCGGCCTCCTGAGCCTGGGGAGGAGCCCGACTCCCCTCCGCGGTCCCTCCCCATGGCTCCCGCTGCTCTGGGGCCCTGGGCCTTGACTTTGGGCATTTTCTGGGTTTGTCTGTGGGTCTTCTGTGTGTGACCGACTTGGCCCTTTGAGTCCTGGGCGAGTAGTGGGCATTTCCGTGGGTCCCGCCAGCTCTGCCTTCTGACCTGACTCAGCAGAGCTGCACCCGCGGAGGCAGAGAGGCCCGACCTGCAGCCCGTGGAGCCCTGGGCTGCATCGGCAGACTGCGGCCGGCATCACTGGACCTGCTCTGGACACTTCAGACGTGGCGCAGAGTACCAACCATGGTATGAAGAGACGGGGCCCATGACCAGAGCTCGGGGTGCTCGTCAGTCCTGAGCACTGGACGTGGTGCCCACCCCAGCCAGCAGCAGCCCACAGGAAGAGGCCCCTGTGCTCCCAGACACGGCCACTAGATGCTCGGGGTCCGTCCCGAGGGGATGGGAGCTGCCCCGCCTGGTGTTGTGGCGTCAGGGTGCTCGGGGAGAAGAGCCGTGTCCTCTGCACGGGGCTGCAGGAGCCCTGAGCCCTGCTGCAGGGAGACTGTCCAGGCCCAAGGAGAGGGGCTGGAGAAGTGGGGCGGCCAGCCCTAGGAGTCCCCCTCATGTGCTGGGCCTGCACCTGCTGCCCGCTGCCCGCAGCCCCAGGAAGACTTGCCCTCAGGCCTGCCCCGGGGACCAGCAGGCGTAAGCACGCCCCAGGCTCCCTGACCGCCAGCAGCACCAGCTCCTGCGTGGGCCGGGCCAGGCGTCGAGTGGACCTGTGCAGAGCAGGGCACTCGCAGCACCTCAGGCCCAGAGCTGGGGCCCCAAGCCCCCTCCCAGAGGGGGACATCTGTGCTCAAAAACGAGCGCTCCTGAGGGACAGGGCTCTGGGCTCCAGAGGGCCACTGCCTGCCACTGTCCCTGCACGAGGGCACTTGGGTGCCATCAAAGCATCTCGCTGGTTTCCTCCAGGGACAAACACAGCTCAGGACAGCGTGCACACGCTGGCCCGGGCACGCAGAGACGCAGCCTGGCGCCAGGCCACAGCAGGAACAGGAAGGCTTCCCCCAGCCTGGCCAGGGGACAAACAGCAGGGGTATAAAGGAGGGAGGCCATGGCCACTCACACACTCACCCACCCACCCCCTCCAGCACACCCACCATGGCTGCCTCCACCATGTCCGTCTGCTCCAGCGACCTGAGCTATGGCAGCCGCGTCTGCCAGCCCGGCTCCTGGGATTCCTGCCCCGACTGCTCCTGGCAGGTGGACGACTGCCCAGAGAGCTGCTGCCAGCCCCCCTGCTGCGCCCCCAGCTGCTGCCAGCCCAGCTGCTGCGCCCCAGCCCCCCGCCTGACCCTCCTCTGCACCCCAGTGAGCTGTGTGTCCAGCCCCTGCTGCCAATCACTCTGCACCAGCTCCTGCACCCCCTCCTGCTGCCAGCAGTCTAGCTGCCAGTCTGACTGCTCCAGCTGCTCCCCCTGCCAGCCGTCCTGCTGTGTGTCCCTCTGCTGCAAGCCCGTGTGCTGCAAGCCTGTGTGCTGTGTGCCCATCTGCTCTGAGGCTTCCTCCTCCTGCTGCCAGCAGTCTAGCTGTGAGCCCTCTTGCTGCTCCTCTTCCCCCTGCCAGCCGTCCTGCTGTGAGCCCTCTTGCTGCTCCTCTTCCCCCTGCCAGCCGTCCTGCTGTGTGTCCCTCTGCTGCAAGCCCGTGTGCTGTGTGCCCGTCTGCTCTGGAGCCTCCTCCTCCTGCTGCCAGCAGTCTAGCTGCCAGTCTGACTGCTGCAGCTCCTCCCCCTGCCAGCCGTCCTGCTGCGTGCCCGTCTGCTGCAAGCCCGTCTGCTACTACAGACCCTCCTCCTGCGTGTCCCTGCTCTGCAGCCCCGTGTGCAGGCCCGCCTGCTGCGTGCCCGCCTCCTCCTGCTGTGCCTCCTCCTGCCAGCCCAGCTGCTGCCGCCCGGCCTCCTGCGTGTCCCTGCTCTGCCGCCCCACCTGCTCCCGCCCGGCCTGCTGTGGTGTCTCCTTGGGCCAGAGGTCCTGCTGCTGACCGGCCATGTCCCCAGGCCAGTGGGCTCAGGCCCCACCCTCCAGAGTAACCCTGGGCCAACCCTGACTCCCACAGGACGCACGGCGCCCTGGCACACTCTGGACCTCTTTGCCTGGAGCCCCTGCCCCTCTGGTGGGCAGTGCTGAGCCTGGGCAGCCTGGCGGCCCCCCGTGTGGCGTGCCCTCTGGGCGTGGGCGGTCTGCCCTGCCCTCCTCCTGCCCCCTGGAGGGAGTGACTGTCAGCAAAGGCCGTCAGCAGCGTCCCCCCTGGAGACCCACTTGCACATCTGGCCAATGGTGGGAGCTTGGACGTGGTGTGGAGTGGGCTGACTTGGGAACCTGGTCTGAGTCCAGGGTGACCGCACCAGCAGGGCTGCTGTCCCCTCCCCTTCCTGCTCTGTGCGTCTGTCCTCACCTGGCCCCGCTGAGTGTCCTCCTCCAGGACCCCCGCAGCCTGGACTCTCCCCCTGGGTCCTCTGCCCACTCTCCGTCTCCTGAGTGGCCCTTTCTCCCTAAGTCAAATAAACCTCGCGGCCCTGACCCTCCCCGTAAGCTGCCTTCTGTTCTGAGTGGTGACCTCACCGTGGCCTCTGTCCACTCGGTCCCTGCGCCTTCCCCCTCCTGGTTCTGTTTCCCATGTGCTTCCTTCGAGGCTGAGCAACGGTCCCTGCCCTGAAGGGTGTCAGGGGGCACCTCAGAGGCCTCAGGGTGCCCAGCGGGCTCGGGGAGCAGGACCAGCTCCCACGAGATTCGCGGACCACCCGACAGACGCCGGCTTGAGCTGCAAGTGCCTGGCAGGGGGGAGGCCGCGGCCCCTGCGGACCCCACCGGGTGGGCGGGGGTCCTGGCTGGCCCTGCCTGGGAGGACAGCCCTGGAAGCCCTTACTTGGCGAGTGTCTCCCCGACCCTCCAGGCAGGTGCCTCTGGCCTCGAGTTCTGTCCCTTCCTCCCGCCACGCCCATCAGGCCTGGCTAATCTGCCAGGTCAGCGAGGCCGTGGGGGACGGGCGGCTCTGGAGTTGGCTCAGGGCTCGGGTCCGAGGGAGGAAGAGCCTGACCCAGGGCCGGTGAGCCCAGGGGGTAAGAGGCGCCTGCCCTGCCCTCACCTCCAGTGGAGTCCAGCTTTTCAGCCCGTCACGAAGTGGCCGAGGAGCCGAGGCGTGTCCAGGGGACTGTGGCCACTGATGGGTCAGGCCCGTGGGGTCACACTGGGCCACTGTGAGAGCCAATGAACCCCGTGATGCTGTGTTCACTCGGGAGGCAGCTGCCCGCTGAGTTGCTTGCTGGAGTTAAGGGCCGTCTGAATGCCCTGGTCCTCGGCTGACCCCACCAGTGCCTTCACCCCCTGAGAAACCCCCAGAGCTTGCACCAGGCGGCCCTGGAGGTCCAGCCAAAACCCGCGGCCCGCTTGGACCCAGCTCTGAGCCACCCTCTCAGCCTCCTGCCACTCTTGGGGACATTTTTACCTTGGTACTTTCAGCAGATAATTGGCCAAGTGATCTGACTAACAGGCGCCCAGAGTGGAACCCGGGAGATGTCCTCCTCCGGACTGATGACTCATGTCTGCCCCTGGCTGTGCTGGAGGTGACCCCTCCTCTCTCGTGGTGTCCAGTGTCGTTTCCCCCCTGTCTGTGCAGACCCGGGGCCGGGCCCTGGCCACTCCTGTCTGGGGTGCACAGGTCCTGGGAAGGCAGGACGGGGAGCCTCCTGGGCCGCTTCCCTCCAAGCCAAGTCCCTGGGCAGGGGAGTGGGCACAGCTGGACGAGCTGCCCTGGCCCTCTGTGCAGCGTCTGGCCTGGGTTGGAGGAGCTGCCTTGTCCCTGGGCTCAGTAGGACCTGCACCTTAGGTGACCTGTCACCAGCTGCCCTGCTCTCTGGGCCACTGTGCCACACGGGGGCCAGGAGGGGCTCCTTGTTCCCTGGCACCGGGTGGACACAGTGGCTCTCCCACTGCCCGTGGTCAGCCAGCCTGGCCCGGCAGCTGGCCTCCCTGCCCCTCTGGGTGAAATGCAGGAACGGGAGCGTGTTTCCAGCCTCGAACCTGGTGGCCAGGCAAAGCCCTCAGCTGCCCAGCCGCGGCTGGCCCACAGCATGGGCGCGAGGCCCCTGCTGGACAGGAGAGCAGGCTGCTGCCCACAGCGCTCACCTGCTGCCTCCTGCTCTTGGTGACGTTGGGTCTGTTTGAAGGTGACGTTGGTCACCTCTGTGGCTTGGTCTTACGGCCACCTGGAGAGGCGTTTTCACCCAGCGCGAGGCACAGGCGGGATCTGTGGCCGGCAGCCTGTCCACCCCGGCCTCCCGCCCGGCCTCTGCACTCGAGGTTGCCTCTTACCTCTGCTCCCGTCTGTAAGAGGCCGCCGTGGGCGCCAGGCTCTCTCCTCACTTCTGTTTTGGGAAACCCCTGTGCTCGCGCCATCCTGGAGACCAGCCGGAGCTGTGCTTTGTGCTCACTTTACATTTATCAGGTCAAGGGAGGCAGGATCGCGGGGCAGCAGCCGTCAGCGGTCAGCACGGCCCCTCAGCCCAGCTCCGCGCTGCAGGGATCGAGCCTCGGTGGAGCTGCGAGCCCTGTGACGGCTGCTGGGCCGTCTGGAGGTGGTGATTGGGCTCAGTGACATGTCTGGATGTGGCCTGCGTGTGCCAAGGGCTCCTGGGCTGGAGCCTGGTTCTCGGTGACATGAGGAATGGTGGGACCTTGGCGCTAGGGCCAGCGGAAGTCATTACTGCCCCTCCCACCCGTGGCTTCTGTGCCCCACGTGATGTGTCCCTCTCACTCCCTCCCACCACAATGCCATCTGCCACAGTGTGACACAACAGTGGGGACCCTTGCCAGAGGCTGGCACCATGTTGAGGGGACTCCCAGCCTCCAGGACTGTGAGTTAAGCAGACCTCTTTTCTTTATAACAGCCCAGCCTCAGGCACTTTGTGACAGTGGTGAAAAGCAGGCATATAGCACGACTGTCACTTCAGGGGATGCACTGGCTGCACTCACAGGCGCCAGGGCCACCAGCGATCAGTGGCGCCCATGTCATCCTGGAATAAAGCCCTGGACTCTTACTGCCATTCCCGTGGGATGTGGTGCCCTCTGCGTCTTCTACGCATTCGTGTTTGCAGCTGAGCACAGCTGGCTCATGGAGCCCGCAGCGTTCTCCTGACTCTCTGGGTGCCCACACCTCGCGCCCACCCTCTGCACCTGCCTCCAGCTCTCACTCTGTTTGCTGTCTGCAGTCTTAGTCCTGGCTGCTCTAACCAGCACCGTCAGCTGGGGCTGGATGCAGCCCTGGAGGCTGCATGGAGGCTGCGTGGAGGCGAGCAGCGTGGGGCAGTCCTGCTGACCGGGACCTTGGGTGAGGGCACCTCACACCAACAGTGGTGCCTGCACTGGAGGGACCCCTCCATCCTCCTCCAAGGCACTGGCCTCAGTCGCCCCGTCCTCAAGTGACCCACCGTCCAGGCCCCATCACCCCAAGGACCTGCCTTGAGCGGCCACACGGGGCCAGGTGTCAGCAGGACGTCTGTCCGTGCAGAGCATTGGAGGGAGGTCCGTTGGTTCTTTCTCAGCTCCCCCAGGAGCTGCCGTAGTCCGCAAAGAGCCAGTGTGGACCTGACGCAGCACACGCTGTCCCGGTCCCGCGGATGTGGCCACACTGTGTTCCTCTGGACCCGGCTTGTGGCAACCTGACGAGGTTCTCCCTGCTGAAGGGACCAGATTGTCCTCTGATCGACAACCAGCCCGTAGGCGTGGTGAGTGCTCTGAGGACTGGCTCCCGGGAGCCACTCAGTCCCCCGTCCAGACACGGCGATGGTGCTGGCTGTCCCGAGAGCTGGCCCTGGCTATCCCCCTGGTCATCGGCGTGGTCCTCGCGGTGCTCTCTCCCTGGCCACTGAGCCGGCGTGGCAGGTCTCGGCTAAACCCGCTGCTTACTGTCCCTCCTGCCGTCACACCGTGGCTGTGTCTTCGCTGCCTGAGGAACGCCTGGCTCTCCACAGAGCCACTCACGATCTGGGCCACCTGCACGTCCCTCCAGCGGGGGCAGTTTGTCTCTTCTTCTTTAGTTTTGTTCTTCTCATGTACGACAGCGTGTATTCTGACGTGTCCTATGGACATGGAGTGGACTTCCCATTCTGTGGTGGGACATGATGTGGACTAACTGTCGTGAGTCGTAGGAAAGTCAGGTCTGATTCTTTCTATGTCTTCCTGTTCCCTCTCCCTGCCTCCCCCCATCCCTCTTTGTCTAATCAACTGAACTTCTATCCTTCCCTCCCCATCTTGTTGTGCATCAGCACCCACATATCAGACAGAACGTTCAGACTTTGGGGTTTGGGGATCGGCTTATTTCACTTAGCTTGAGAGTCTCCAGGCACGTCCACTTACCAGCAAAAGCCACAATTTCATTCTTCTTTAAGGCTGAGTAATATTCCATTGTGTATATGTACCATATTTTATTTATCCATTCCTGTGTTGAAGGGCACCTGGGATGGTATCATAGCTTAGCTATTGTGAATTGAGCTGCTCTAAACACTGATGTGGCTGCATCTCTGTAGTGTGCTGATTTTAAGTCATTTGGGTATGAATCTAGGAGTGGGATGACTGCGTCAAATGGTGGTTCCATTTCAAGTTTTCTGAGGACTCTCCATACCACTTTCTATAGTGGTTGCCCCAATTTGCAGTCCCACCAGCAGTGTATGGGTGTGCCTTTTCCCCCACGTCCTCGCCAGCACTTATCGTTGCCTGTATTCTTGAGGACTGCTATTCTGACTGGAGTGAGGTGAAATCTCAGTGTATTTTAATTTGCCTTTCTCTGATTGTAGAGAAGTCGAACATTTTTTCATGTGTCTGTTGACATTTGTATTTCTTCTTTTTTGAAGGGTCTGTCCAATTCCTTTGTCCATTTATTGACTGAGCTATTTGATTTTTTGGTGTTAAGTTTTCTGAGTCCTTTTTATGTCCTGGAGATCGGTGCTCTACCTAAGGTGCACGTGGTCAGGATTTT